TTGAACGTTTGCGGACATCGGTTGCAGTTCCTACAGCAGTGGGTTAGTGGAAAAGTAAACGCAGACATTATACCAGTGTCCAACTGTGCTAATGGTCTGCGAGAGTTTAGCAGCCTTTAAGATAAACCTGGATCCTCCTTATGGGTAGCGTTCCCCCAGTCCATCTTTCAAAGGTAAAAATGGAAGAGCTTCTTAGAAAAATGGTTTTGTGAAACCATATTTAATGGAGATTTACAACGTGGTCAAAAGCATAAGGCATTGTTTTTCTTAAAGTTATCGTGAATACTCTAATTATTTTTTATTGAACGATTTCTGAGATTTTGTGTATAAGTGATGAATTTCTGTTTGCAGCTGTAATTTCTAATTGCCGCCTGTAGGCGTACATATGTGCGTTTATTATGTGGTTTGCAACCACACACTCCCGCTTCTTTCACTTTGGCATCCTTTCCTTTATCAAAACTGTCCGATTTACCATTTTTCATCTATTGCAACGGAGCACAACTTTACATTCATAAGCCAAGTTGAGCTCTCTTATTCAAATACAACAGCGGATAGCGAGCTCCTTTGTGTTTCGTTACTCTCTTGAAAATCATTCTGAAGGTATTGTATATAGTGTACAATGCATTCCAAATGCTTGCATTGCTGTAAGGCTGTCACTTCGCGATCGAGGGCTGTTCAGTGTTCCTGCTGCGGAGGGTGGCTGCACATTGCATGTTGTAAGATCGGCGCAGATCTGTGCGATCCACTGCAGAATACCACTTCCTCAGTCGTTGTCTTTATTTGTGACCAATGTCGTGCTGGACTGAGTGACAATCGAGTTTCCAATGGCCTACCTCCAATCAGTCCAAGTCCCTCATGTCTGCATCCTGTGCAAAAGCAGAAAGATCCTCCGCTGCCTCCTAACTACAAGTTTATGTTGGCCGGTCGGACTCCAGCGAAGAAGTCAGGTACCGACACTACACCGCCTGATGGACTGCCGGCACCGAACCCGCATTTCTCTTCTGCTCAGGCCGAAGCAATCAGCCATACTGCATCCCTAGCATCCCCATGCTTATCGTCACTAGATTCTGGTACGGTTACCCCCACTGGTAAGCCGACGGTTGTTGACCACAGCAAAGCCCCAAATACCAAGACTTATGCATCCATAGCGAAGGATTGTGCGCCACTGTCTAAGCCATTAATAGCGGCTGAAAGTAAGGACAAGACAGATGTCAAGGTGAAACACAAACCATTGTCATCACAATCGCAGTTGAAGCTAGTTATGGATGGAGTCGGTCAGCTGGAAAACTGCTTAAGGCGGGCCCACCTCTCCACAAACTGCAGATCCCCGATAACAGCAAAGCACCCTCTCGTGGCCGTTGTCTAATCATCTTAAATGTTCCTGAGTCGTCCAAGACCACTCCAGCTGAAAGGATTATGGATGATCAAGAGTTTCTAAAACGGATGATCACCTTACTGTTCGACGAAGGGGAGCCAGGAATCAACATCGTCTCCGCTTTCCGCCTTGGCAAGGAGCAGGAGGACTCTTCTAAGGTCCTTCCCTTGAAGATTGTATGTCAAAACGGTGATGAAGTCCATCGCATTCTCCGACGAGCTCCGCGTCTTAAAGGAGGACCATTTTTCGTACTACGAGACCTCTCTCCGGAGGATCGAGTAAAAATGAAGAAAGCGGTTGATGAACACAGCTATCGTCGTGATAACGGTGAGACGGACCTACATATCGTGGATTTTCGTGTGCTTCGAGAAACGTCAAGAACTCGCTGGAGACCACTCCTTGTAATGCCCGGGCGTTAGAGTTGAAGAACGGACTGCACCCCTGTGTCTTTCTAAACGTTTACGCTCGATAATTTATTTTAATTTTACACTGATGTTACTTAGCAAACTATTCATCTTGGCAGACGTTCGATAGATGAACCAGACATATTTTGATTTCATCATATTCACCTCAACCATCCTACGGGACGTGTCAAGCACTTGCTTTTATCCCGTGATAAATCATTGTTCATTGGACCAATGTGCGCAGTCTCAGAAACAAACTAGACGAAGTTCAGCTGCTTGCCTCCATGAATCGGCTGGATCTTATAGCTTTCACCGAAACCTGGTTGTCCTCGGATATCATGGACTCTGAGGTGCAGATCCCTGGATACCACCTTTACAGGGCAGACCGCCATGGAGGAAGACCTGGGGGCGGTGTGATAATCTATTGGAAGACGGACTTCAAAGCCCATCTAGTTGAAGCTACTTATGGCAGCGATGGCGACTTCGAAACTCTCTGGGGCCGTGTTCATGACGGATGCAGATCTCTCATGGTCGGTGTTGTCTCCAGGGCCCCATTGGGTTCCGGAACTTGCCTGCTGGACGCGATCAAATGCACGGTGGAGGCAAGGACTGCTAATTACTGGGTGACTTCACTGCCCCGAGTATCGACTGGGACCAACTGCACTGTGTTCCCTCTTCAAACGCTTTTGATTTCGCTCTTTTAGAGACGGTTATCTAATGTAACTTGTTCCAACATGTCACAACACCTACTCGTATAATTACAGGACAAACACCCATATTCTTGACCTAGTACTCTCACCGGCACAATCAGATGTCACGGGCCTAGCCGTCCTTCACCCCATTGGTAATAGCGATCACTGTGTGGTTTCATTCCTATGGACGCGAGGACTTACTCTCCACAACCAAGGTCGCATCCGCAGAAATTTCTGGCGGGTTAATCACCAACGCCTACAAACGGCCGCCAATACCGTGGACTGGAGTATACCTGAACCCCTGGATCTGGATGATGAATTGAACCTCTTGTACTCCAGAATGATTTCACTCGTTGAGCAGGTCGTTCCTGTTTACAAAAGACCTTTTGCCAGAGGTCCTCCATGGATTGATCTAGAACTGAGGGGCCTAATGAACAACAGACGGAAACTGGTGGTCCGCTTCAAGCTCACGCAATCCGAGTCTGACTATTCGGAATATAAAGTGTTCAGGAATATCTGCAACTTGAGAAACGGGAGAAAGGGCAAAAATACGAACTCGGTTTGGCTGTGCAATCCAAAACAACTCCCAAGGCACTCCTCTCTTATCTTAAGAGAAGTACCAGAGCAGGAAGTGGTATACCTGCTCTGTATTCCCTGGCGCAGGTTGGTTTACTTGACGATGACGCTGCGAAAGCCAGTATCCTTGCCTTGCAATCTTCGTCTGTTTACTCGATGGAGACGCCGTTTTCCAGTGACGCGGTGCCAATACTCCCTTCTTCGTTGGAGCATGTAGAAATGACCGCTGATGTGGTTGCCAAAGTCATTCGGGAATTAGATCCGAACTCCCCGCCGTGTCCTGTTGGGTTGCATCCGCTGTCCCTCAAGACTGTGGCCGATTACATTGCCGTTCCTGTTTGCCGGGTATTTCGGCATTCTGTTGAAGTTGGACGGCTCCTGCTTGCTTGAAAAGTGGGGAGCGTTAAACCCATACATACCAATTATCGACCCATCGGTTTGACGTCAATATTATGCAAGGTAATGGAGGGGATTCTCAAGCGGGCACTTCTTCTCCACCTCGAAAACATAAACGTCATATCCTGTGCACAGCATGGTTATCGGCGGGCGCGCTCATGTTCTTCGAATCTGCTTGTGGCTCGTGAAAGATGGGCGAAATCACTGGACGCTGGGAAACATCTGGATGTTATTTTTGTCGACGTCAGGAAGGCCTTTGACAAGGTTCCTCATGAAAGCCCCCCTTTATAAACTACGATTAGTCGGTGTTTCTGGGAACGTTCTCTCTTGGATCGCTGATTTTTTGCATGCCCGGACAATGCGAGTCAACGTGAACGAGACTTACTCCGCTCCTGTGCTCATGAATGGCGGTGTCCCTCAGGGATCAGTCCTAGGTCCCGAACTTTTCAAGATCATCATCAATGGTCACCCGGCGAAACTTGAGTTGGATTGCTTGATTTACGCTGACGACTTGAAGTTGTGGATGGAGGTATCCTGTCTTGACGATGCGGACCGGTTACAGGCTACACTTGATACGTTACATGAGTGGTCAGTCAAATGGCGATTGCCCATAAATCGCGATAAGTGCTCGGTCCTCCCATTGGTGCTCCTGAACCTTTTGGGACGTACCACATTGGTGGGGCGTGGCTCAGAAACTCAATCCTTGTAAAAGACCTCGGCGTGTTGGTGTCATCTGATCTACGGACTACACAGGACACGTTACGAAGGGTTGCTGCTGCCAACAGGATGTCCCATGCCATACGAAGAGCCTTCTCGCGTCTGACTCCGGAGATCTTCCGACAATTGTTTACTTCCCATGTGCGCCCCGTACTCGAATGCGGAATACCTGCCACCTTCCCTCGCACCGAATTCGAATGTGACCTCATTGAGAAGGGCCAACGGCTAGGATCGAAACACATCTTGGAGGTACGGGACTTGCCTTATCCCCTGAGATTTCAGCGCATGAACCTGTTCTCCTTGGATTATCGCCGACTTCGCGGCGACCTGATTTTCACCAGGCGTATCCTGAGAAAAGAGATGGGGCCGGAGCTGCAGACATGCTTTCAATTCCATGCAAACAGTTCAACACGAGGCCACAGCTGAACACCGTTTACACCCAGAAGGCTCCGGGTTCATCCTGCTCTCGTTCTATCAACTCGCGTAGTCAACGATTGGAACGACTTATGATGCCAAACAAAGGAATGTTTCAAGCGGATGTTAGGTTCTTATCTTTTGAATACCATGGGCCCTTGCAGCTTCCACTGTAGCTGTCACGGTCCCTTGTGGATTATCGCTTAACATCGAATCGCGGCCTCCACACAATGATCGGGAAGCGATGGAGCTGACAAAGGATTTCTCCTTCTGCTCTCTACAGTCCTATGATCCTATTTAAAATTTTAAGAGGTGAGATCCCGGAAAGTGATGTAACATAATTGTTTATTGCTAAAATTATGACATCACAGCTTAAGTTAAGGAAAGTATGCTTTCTTATTGTTTGCTTTTGCTTTTTCGCTCTACTGACTTGTAGAACGCTACCGTCCTTGGATCGATCTGACCTGACCTTCAGCCTGCGTCTAAGCGCGATGCATTTCCATTCTGATTCGCAGGTTTGATTCCTTCCCATCGTGTATTCTGTCCAGGGTTCAATGAATGCAAACTTGGAAGGGCACATACAGGATCAGAATATTGGGCATTTGTATAATGAAAGCTTGGTTTTGCTCAATGAACCTATCCGTGCTACCATGGTAAGTTGTGTAGTTTGCTTCGCATTTTAGCAGATCAAGTCCCTGAAAGCGGTCGGTAAGAAGTTCAATCACGTTTTATTTCCTCGGAAGGGTCAAGAGCTGCTGAAGGAATGTAAGTTGAACCTAAACTTATACCCATTTTCAGGGGATCTGTGGGGCCCGCTCACTCTCTGTCTGGTTATGTCTGTGTAAGTTTTACGATTCCCTTTAAATTTCCTCTTTCGTGTAGTTTTACACCCTAAGTTTTTCGGTTCAGTCGTTTCAACCTCTCGTACTATTTTACTGTCGATGTACAATACTGCCTTAATGTCTTTTCCTGCCCGCACCATGGGTAACCAGCCGTCATATTTGGACGTGTTTTTGGCCACGCGACGGGCAAAAAAATAAGAATAGTAATGGCATTATTTTCTAAATATGCCGTTAATTACCAAAGCATATCATTAACCCTGGTCCTTACTTGTAAGTTTGCATTTTACCAAATTCATTTGTCAGCCCGGATAACCGATAGGCTGCCGTAGAGTACGTTTTTGTGCCCCTGATCGTCAGAATGAAACTTAGTTACGACGAATATCGGTCTTAAAAATAATCATAATGTGAAATTACGGTTTTACTGCTGCGTTATTACGATTCGTGAATCGATTCCCGTTTATTGGAGGCAGTATTTACATAAAGGAAACATACATTCATGGCATATCTAAAAGTTGCGTTGAAAATTTTTTGTGGTCGATTGAAATTCGTCCTATATGTGTTTCACTAGGACTACCATGGACATTAAAAGAGATCACTCCAGCGGATATTTTTCAGTCGCTCGAGTTATACCAGCTGTTTTCCTACAGAAAACGTGGGTTTAAACGCTCTATCTAATTGCATGCATAGCACAAGTGACCAAAGATGTCCGCTGGAGTGACCGTTGGAGCGTCCTGTGTGCGTTTTTGTGCTCCGCCCCCTTAGGACACATGGGACGGATTTCGATCAATCGGCTACCTTTTTCCAGTGAACCCTTAACATCTACCATGGATGCATTCTTTCCGGTTACAATGCTATCAACAATAGGCGGAAATGGGTTCCTACATTGCAAAACGACAGTATAGCCGTATGACTAAACCGAAAACTTTTTGTGACTGGATTTAAATAGATATATGAATTGTTTATTCCCGACAGTGCGGGACACGCCTGCATAGGCATGATCATGTTAATACAAAGAGCATCCGTTATCGTACACATCTATAACAAGTTAACCAGTTTCAATACGCGCAAATGTGTTCAACTGGGACGACTAGGGGTATAAAAGCAGTCACTCGCTCCGACTATAATTACGATTCTACTAAGTAAAGTTATAGAGAAAGGACGACGGGGTTGAAGATGTACAATAATGCTCAACAACCAATCGGGACATTTCACGCAATTTATTTCCAGGTTCACGGGTTCCAATTCACTAGGTCTCAATTGTATGTGGGACATCTGTCATTGTCCCCGTTCACCAGAAAGGCTCCCGCCATAATTTCGCCAATTGCCGTAGGATTTCGTTGGTCTCCGTTGCGTCCAAGATTTTCGCGCATATTCTACTCCGCAGGCTTTCATGGACTAGAGATGGCATTTCCCGAAAGAAACAAGCGGGCTTCTTTCCAGGCCAAAGTTGCACTGACCACATCTTCACACTCCGCCAACTTCTTGAACGAGACTGAACCTTAACGTCGTGCGACGGTTTGCGTACCTCCTTGACCTATTGAGCTATACTAATTGGTGCCTGCGGACATCTTGAGAAATACTCCTACCAGAGTGGTCAATGGTGAGAGGTCAGACAAACTCACTCTCCTAATCCTCCAGGTTGGGGGTTTGAAATGGGATGGAGTCCATTTCTTTAAAACTAAATCATTGCCACCTCCTCGCTGCCTTGTGGACAAGCCCTTGAGCCAACGGCTTTGGATGAGGACCCTAATCGTCCTCCTGTCTAGGTCTTGGCGCCATGGCAGTATTCTAGCCCACATACAGCCATGACTTTTTCTTCCGACATAAACTTCATCCTGCATCGGCCGTCTCGCAAATTATCAAGAGTCTCCTTATCTGCTGCAGGACGAATAAGCGAAAACGTGCTACTGCTGCTGCCTCCTTTCTTTTCCACCTGTTTCTCTTACTCCCATCCCAACCCCCATTATTAACCTTCCTTCTATAATTCCCAGCTTAATTGACAGCAACCGAAGTGTCACTGGAGTAGAACCATCTGCAGTCACTTCACGATACGCACCGGACGCCTATCGGCAACAGCCCCTTATAAGGCCATGCTGTCCCGTTTTTATGGCGACGTTCAACGTTCGCACTCTACGACATACAGGTTAGCAGGCTGCACTCGCACCCACCTTGGACACACTGTGTATTGATGTGTGTTGTGTCCGAAATTAGGATCAATGATCCTAATGGGGTTGTTGAATTAACTGCACCCGGGTTGTCCCCTTGTTATTGGTTACACACATCCGGAGACGTCGATGCATCACTCACGGGTCAAGCTGGTGTAGTATCTTTCTAAGCTCCAAGGCCGAGCCATCGTTGGTCGATTGGATTCCGGTAAACAGTCGTTTATGTGCAACCCGTTTGATGACATCAGCTAAGGTTGATCCACGAAGTAGTACAAAACGTTGTTTGTTTATGATTTCCGCTTATGCTCCCACCGACTGCATTTCAAATGTTTTCAAGGACACATTCTATCACGAACTGAACGTTCTACTACGCAGTGCTACTAGTTCAGATATAGTACTTGCTGGGGATATGAACGCATAAGTAAGGCGTCTGAGCTCTTCAGAAGCTCAGCTGGGTGATAATTATGGGCTTAACTCCGAGCGGACTGACAACGGCAAGCGTCTGCTGCAACTGTGTGCGGAGCACCAATTAGCAACTGAGAAATTGTCTCAGCCCTCGGTCAGGAAAACCTATTAAGACGCACCACTTACCGAACTGTCTTGTTCTAACGACAACGTGCTTCAGTGGAATAGGATATCGGCCTCCATGCGCGACGCAGGAGCATCTGGGTGTTCACTATCAATGGTCACCGTACCAGTCACTGGATATCCGAGAGGTCGGTGAACCTGTTGGAATCTAGAAGAAACCTCCCGGCTGGCTCAGCACAATGTGACCAGAGTCGCTATTAGACGCGAACTAATGCAGAGCCTACGTGCTGAGAAAATAGCCTAGTGGACCACTCGGGCCCAAGAAATGGAGGAGGCAGGAGCAGTAGGCAGTTACCGCAAGCTCTTCCAGCTGATCCGAACCACTGGTTCCAGGAAACCAGGCGTCAGTGAGACAATCAGAGACAGCGCGGGTGGACTGAGACACAATAAAGAGCGCCGTATGGCTCGTTGGGCGGAGTACTTTCAAGATCAATTCAGCTGGCTCCCTGTGCCCGGACTTCTTCCTACTCAGGTGATGCAGGACGAGCCATGGACGGTTAGTTTAGAGTCTCCGTCGGAGGCCTAGGTCCGAAACGTGCTCACAGCCCTCAATCTTTTTCGTGGCCGAATTCACTCCCACCTGCACTATTTAAGGATGGAAGTGAGGTCCTCTACAAAGCACTGACCTCCCTATGCGAACCTATCTGGAAGGAGGAGTGTCCCGGCTGATTGGAACGAATCGATTATAGTGGCAATGTACAAGAACGGCAGTCGCACAGACTATTCTAACCACAGGGGTATTAGCTTAACGCCAGTTATGACAAAATTACTGGCGTCGATTCTCGTTCGTCGCTTCACTGTGAAACGCGAATCTCGGATTATGGAAGAGCAGGCCGGTTTCCGCCCAGGGCGTGGCTGTATAGACCATATATTCACTTTGCGGCAAGTGCTAGAGCAGCGTTGCGCCGACTGCAGACCGACAATAGCTGTGTTCCTCGATTTCAAGAACGCGTTCGATTCAGTCAGTCGATCGATTCTGTTGGAAATACTTGCGCGGAAACGTGTTCCCTCGAAATATGTGAACATCCTACATGCTCTATACTCAAACACTACAGGCCGCATCAGGGTCTACGGTGGCCTACCGGACAGCTTTGCGACCACAAGTGGCGTTCGTTAGGGTTGTCCGATTACACCATTTCAGTTCAATTCCGTCGTGGATTCTATCATGGAGTGTTCCCTTGCGAAATCTCACGATCTAGGCGTTAAACTGCTACCTGGTGAAAGATTAGTTGATGTTGATTATTCGTACCATATCGTCTTGCTTTTCCATGATGTTGTGGCGACACATTCAACCCTGAATAGGCTGTTTAAAGTGGTCCCATCATTTGGTATACGCTTTTCATCTTCAAAGTGCAAAGTGTTGCTGCTGGACCACCAGCCACTTTATGATCCGTTGACTCTTGCTAACGAGGAACTCGAGGTGATTGATCAATTCACTTATCTTGGCAGCTTAATCAGCAACGGTGGACGCATAGACACTGACGTCAGCTCACTCATTACAAAGGCCAGAGCTGCCTTCTTGAACCTGCGGCATCTTTGGCTACAGTTTCCCTTCGTCTGAAAGACCATATATACAAGGCCACAGTGAGGGCCGTTCTGCTCTATGGGACTGTGACCTGACCCCTTCAGTCCGCAGATCTGAGGCGCCTTCAAGTCTTTGATCATCGTTGTCTGTGAAGCATTGTTGGCGTCGGATGGCACCAGCGCGCGGTGATGTGCGTAGGCGAGTACTAGGTAGTGATAATCATGCTATTTCCCTAGAACTACAGATAGCACTGAATAAGTTGCGTTGGTTCGGGCGCGTGCTACATATGCCTGGTCACCGCTCGAGGTGCACAGAACTTGACTTGGCAGCGGGAAATGAAATTACTGACGACCGAACTGGGTGCCGCTGGTCCGTCTTGTCTTCCGGGCTGGAGTCCACGTGATTGGCTCGAGACCTTACAGGACATGGCTCGCAGCCGGCACCAGTGGCGCGTCTGCTACCGTCTCCTAATCGGAGTGCTTGTTTAAAGTGTGTTTGGTGCTGTTATCTGCAGGGTAATGGCTGATTATGACACGTGGCAGTGAAAGCCGCAAGGAACCTGTCTCGCCGATGCCGTCTTATCTTTGCACGATAGCCAGCTGTTTGCGACGATATGTTTACGCAAGGTGTAGGCGTCTTAGCTCTGAATGTTTGCTTAGGGCATTAAGGTTTTCAGGTAAGTCCCCCTTCTCTCCCTCTTATTATTCTTTATATCATTGGT